TTTCAATCTTGCATGCCAATTGAGTTTTGTGGGACGTTTGGGGCTTTTATTTACCTTCCAGAAGGGTGTGTGGGATCAAAGATCAGATGCAGTGCAGAGATGAGTGTGAACCGAGGGGTAGTACTAGGGCTGACAGATTATTTTACTAACCCAAGCAGCTGAATTGGTTTGAGGATGAGGACACTTCGGCTCTGGGGATAAGTTAACGAAAGGGCCTGCCAGTCTCACCAGGCAACCTCCATCACTCAACAGCTCTTGGTGTAACAACAGCTTGATCATCCTCGATAACAAAGAGGAAGTAAGAAACTCACCTTTATATTCTTTAAAGTAGTCCTAGAATTCCATAATAATAGGACATGGTCTAGTCTTAGCAACATACATAGGGAAGGGAAAATATACACAATCACTGGGATATATTCCTTCAATTATGTGACTATTTCTGCACTTCAGTGTGGGGAGTTCTCTGATCCTGAGTAGACTCAACACTAATTGGAGCCCTTGGTTTCCATGAATAGACTCCCCAAGAAAGTCAGTTATGCATTTTTTTCCAGCTACTATTCTGTGCTAAAAAAATGTAGTTGGAAAAGTACTAGAGAATGAGACACAAGACATGAGAAAGAATTTGAGTCTCAGTACTGCCATCGGTCCCATTTTATCGCGAGTCACTGCACCTCTGTAGGTGTGTTTTCTCAACTCCTAGGAGCAGGGATTGGATTGGCTGGTCTTAAAGCCCCTTTCAGATCAAAAAGTCTAGACTACATACCAAGGCTAGCACTGGAGCCTTTAGTCACTGGATCTGTGTACACTGTTAAAGTGAGGAGGTCTTGCCTTTTAAATATGCCCGTTAAGAAAAAAGCATTTTTTCCCCTCCTGGCTCTAGGAATGTAAATCATTTGTTGCACTAAGACATACAAACAACTGACACAGGACAGCATAGTTTGTTCTTTGCATTTGTCATGCCACATTAAATGCTAGATGGGTATGCTGTTTTAAAAAAAAGTAAGCCATCTGATTATATTTTCTTGCTTATCAAAATTAAACTGAGCTCATAATTAACAGCCAGTTAACACCACCAGGTGAAGTACATTAGTATTGTCTCCCTTCTAAGTAAGTAAAGAGTGATTCTCTTATGATGACTTTGTACTTCTTGGAGGGTCAGTGGGTCCCCATTCAGACTCTTGTTCTCGCCTCAGCTGACTCACACCAAATCCTCCAAGAGCAATCTCCTTATATAATTTTCTTTTTTCACAATGGTCACAGTTCTTTAGCTATAAAATAAAAATCATGCAAATCTGGATTTTGCTTATGCTAAAGACAGGCTTATTTGAATAAGCGGACCAATGTTCATTTACTTCTGCATGAATGAAGCTTGATGCAATGTTTTTCAATGTGACTTCGGCTGAGCTGCAATCAGCAGAGCCTACAATACAGATTGCCATGCTTACAAGTCTGATTTGTGACAACTGCGGCACCTAATTGTGTTCTCAGTTCTAGATTTAGAGTTTCTCTAGCTTTATTCTTCTGGCCAGCTATCGAATATGATTTCATGTACTCTTAGCAATCAGTCCATTTAATTTGAATTTTTGCTTGTCTCATCAGGATTCAAAATGAAATCTAACAAATTTCAGATGAAGTCTAAAATAGGATTTTCTGTGATTCACACACTTCAGTGACGAATACAGGATTATGTGTATGCCTTTATATATAGTTATGAGTATATAGATGTGTATATATACATGTGTGTATATACACACACACACACAAATGGACTCTGTATATATGCAAACATCCCTCAAAATTGCTTTTTCTTTGATAGATTTGTTATCAATGTAAAATCATGTACTCTAAATGGTTTCTTATTCACGTTACCATCATGACAATGTAAATCATTACCACTTGTCACTTGGTTAACTTAGAAAGGATTCAAGCATTCATTTTAAAACCCTTTTTAAATTTCCTTACCTTTTCATAAAGTCTGAAGAATTAAAAGTAATATTTATTCTATTATTTTTAGCTTGCAAGTTTTTATGTGGATTGCAGAAAAATGGTGGCCACCCCCAATAGGGTGGGGAACCTGTGTCCTTGGGGCCACATGTGGCCCTCCAGATCCCCAAGTGTGGCCCCTCAACCAAATCCAAACTTCACAGAACAAATCCCTTTATTAAAAGTATTTGTTCTGTAAAACTTGGGTTCAATCAAAAGGCCACACTCAAGGATCCGGAAGGCCACATGTGGCCCCAAGGACCCAGGTTCCCCATCCTATTGAAATATTTTCCTTTTTTATAGATAATTTTAATTTAACTTCTGGGATACATACACATCAGTGATAAGTGAATTCAGTTAATTTTTCCCATGTTTAGATGCCAGTTAAAATCTCTTTCAGTTGACCAGAATCTATGGAATTGATCAGAAATTTGTTTGACAAAAAACTGCCCTGGAATTACTCCTTTGCCAAACTCTTCTCCAACAGTAAATCTTAGATGGAAAATTTCTTCTCAACATGGGAGAAATTAGACTTTGTGTTTCCACTAGCATTAGGAAGCTGGAATAAAGAACAGAAAATCGAAGCAGAGAAAACTAAACTACTGAGAAAAATAAGTCGTGAGATTTCATCAAAATGCTAATTATACTGGAAATCATTCAATTGGGTCTCCAAATGGGGAAAAATGTGTTTTTTGTTTCTGACTTTTAGAAAGAAAAGAGACAAAAGACAACAACAACAACAAAAACTATAGAGAGTAGGAATTTAGTTATTAAAAAAGAAAGAAAGAGGAGAAGAGGAGAGGGAAAGAGAGAGGAGAGGGAAAAAAGCCCATCCCCACCCCTCTGAAGAAAACACTGCTCATATAAATCCATAGTCTACCTATTCTACATACACCAGCTACCATAGAATGGAGGATACAAGTTACTGCGAGAGTCTCCTTCATCAGAAAAAGCTATAGTGAGGCAGGACAGGAAGCAATTTTTCAAAAGTTTCTCAGCAGTAAGGGCTAAAACAAATGGAGATGACCCTTCATTTATTAGAAAACTAAGTAAATTAGGATATGTCATTCCCCAAAGCATTCTGATTAATCAAGGATTCCTGTTTATTTAAAAGTGGAACGTTTGTATCACAACAGGGGGAAAAACAATCTGTATTATCATTTTAGCATTTGTATCTATTTATTTTTCTTTGAGTGGGCATTCCTATCCATCATTAGCTCAAAAATAAAACTCACATTCATAGAACTGAAAATCATATAAAGAAACAAAAAAGAATAACAACTCCCTCCAACGATGGAACCGGGGCTTGGCAATTTTTATGGATATGAGTACTGGGGGATCAAAACAGCAGAAGAGAGCAGGAAAGAGGCTTTTACCCAAGATGGCACATTTTAGTGATAACTTGTCATGATACTTAGCACTGGTGAAGACCTAAAAAGTACTTCTAAAGTAAAATGCATCATTACTTCCAGCTTCCCAAACATTTTGTAAGTTGAACCTGGCTTTTGCTTTCTGGATCATTCTGCAAAGATGTTTTTGAAGTCTCAGCTACTCTCTCAGCAAGTCAACTCCCTAACATTTGATGAGCAATGAGTATATGGAAAACAAAGCTGTCTCAAGCCTGAGACAGGAAACTATATTTCTCTGCTATCATTCCCTCCTGTTGTCCCTATTTCTTCATCTTTTCCCCACCTCCATAGAGCCATTTTAAAAAAACAGTCAATCTGTCTCTACCTCTAGTTTAGGACTATTAAAAAAAGGAAAAACTAATCAAGTTCACAAAAGTCCTCATATATGACCAAGACCATCCTTTGTGATACTTTTTACATAATCCTTATATAATATATTGTGTTTGGCCCTGAAATAAATTGGTTACTAGTCTACACAAATGCTATTCTATGCAAATATTAGCAAGTAGAGCAATTTCGAAGATATCAGAACAATTAACAAATTACAGATCATCTGCTAAAGAGATGGCAGAATGCGCAGGCAGTAGCACAATGAGGTGGTCACCAGCATCACGTGGTCTAGCAGATGTCAAAGGACTCTAAATGACAAAGCACTTTGGACATTAAGGTCATTACTATTGTTGTTATTATGGTATAACAACTGATACATTATGGGGAAATTAAACCCCTAGAAGGCAAAAGCTCTGGTCAGATTTAATACAAGGAATCGTTTCCTCTCCGTGTCTAACAGCTGGCACTTGGCGATGATAATGTAATGTATGGAGAGACACATCTTGGACCTATAAAATAGAAATTTGAATATACAAATATATATTATGAAGTATGATAGGATACAAATTGATGTAAAAATATGCTTTGCTTTCCCTGTTTCATGATTTTAAAAAGCATATATGTTTGCATTATTGGATGTTGAAGCAGAGTTAGTAAACCCTTTGGCTATGTTTTAGGAATGTTTTCACAGTATACGTTATTACAGTGTTTAAGTTGGTATCTTACATGTTAAATAGCCTTTTGAAAGATTTAGGAATCAACCAGAAATAACTAAACATTACTATAGATCATTCTAATAATATGTTTAGTTATACTGTTTTGGGAAGTAAGAATGGATGGATGGTAAGAGGGGAAATTCATCAAGATTTGCTAAATTGGCCCATTTTTAATTAAATGTTTGAGATAGTTAAGTAATCCTGATGTGTAGGATGTCCATATCTTCATTGTTAATTAGTTGATGGCCTGAGGCTTTAGCTGTAGGAAGTACTGAGGGAAGATGGTATGTCACGAAGAGACACCTTCCCTTCTCCAGGCTAACTAGTAACTGTGGTAAGATACTTGAACCCTGATAGCATTTCTAGGGTCAGTGTTTGACAATCAACCATTCTTCAAGATGTTGCAGCTGCTCAATTTCAAGAAGCCATTGAGTCAATAACTTTGCCTCATGAGGCCAAATCCCATGGCTTTTGGGGATTACTCACTGTTTAACAATTATGGGCAGCTACCTTGAAGGAAAATCTTCCCATTTCTTAGGTCACAGTTATCATGTCACTGGCCTTCATTTCAATTCCAGTTAAATTATAAAGTGCAGTATATAGTGTTGAACCTTCAGAAAGAACATAATGAGCACAACCACCCTCCACAAAATCTCAGGTTTAAATTACTAGCAGAGTCATGATCCGTATCTGAGAATGTACAGGAACTTGATCAGCATTGTTGCTGTCTATATCATCGCTGTCATCATTGTTTACAGCATCAGCATCACAGTTGTGGTTTCATGTACCATGATCATGTCAAGTGATGTGGCAAGACCTTAAAAACCAACATCAAGACACTGTCCAGTTTGGGTGTGTAAATATTATCCTGTGTTTTGTGGCCCATTTAGCAAACACTTTCTTTTCAGTGATAAACCTATGCCCCCCATATGGGGCATGTTCATGAAGAAAATATTCATCACACTCATCTCTTCCTTGTTCATAGTAATGGTAGGGAACTTTTCTATATCCTTCTGTCCTAGAAAAGAAAAAAAATGATAATGAGAGAAAGATTGAGATGAAGAATGAAGAATGAAACATTCACTTACAAGAATCCATTATGTGCCCAGTAAATGCATTTACTTGCAAACCCATATATGATTTTTTGTCCATGAACTCAGTTAAAAGCTATTATGCATGAAAGCTTTTAGGAAGATAGACCAGGTTCTTAGGCTTTAATAGATCAAATACAATTTATAGGTATTAATAATACCAATTACATTCAAACATATGGCTGGCTATCCTTTGAAGGAGGAAATGGTATATAGTGGAAGCAAACTTTGATAGCCTCTTGCAGAACTTGAAGAAACTTTGGGATTTTTCATAGTAAGAAATTTGGTTCTTCTGTGCTCCATTGTGTATATAGTTAGGATAGAAACACTTGTTTCTATGAAGATTGTGGCTGGCTGAGAGTTACCATTTCGACAATATGATTAAAACAGTCTCCGAATTACAGTGCCAATTGTTGGTAGGGAAATGTATTTCATTACCCGGATGAAGCATGGAGGGTTCATTTTATCATCTAATTAAAAACTATCCCACCAGTGAGGATATACTGTGGATAACACTCATTTTAAATAAAGATGTAGCAGATTACTCACTTATTAGTGAAATACAATTTCCAGAAATTCTTGTTAAGCTGTCAGTTTCTCTGAGGCATCAGGACATTTTGTCCTTCATGATCAAATATAACCATTGAGCAGGTAGCCATCCATCAAACCATCAGAGCAGCAGAAATGACAACCTTGCTTTTGCGAATTAAATAACCACTGAACTTGTTCTGTATTTCCAAGCCACAAGTCCCTGATATGTCACTGATTAAGGGAAAAGTGTTCCTCCTGACATTTGACATTAGATTGTGGCAAATATTTTTCTTTTTATCATCCCTAAAATTCACAACCTGATGCACTGACAATAAAATGTCATGTCAGCAAAGAACACTGGGAAATACTTGTTGCTTTATCTGTTTCACAGATTTACGGTATCGAAATGAATTGTGATATTTTGACAAGATATCAAAATTGGAGCTGCATAAAAATAATTTCCTGTGATCTTACTTGCAGTAGGTGTCATTTATCATCCCGTAGACGTGAATGCCGTAACAGGCGTCCATGGCCAGGATGAAGGTAAACCACCCTGTGCTGAGATAAGAGCCAGACTGGACTCTGGGGAAGGGAACGAAAACAAACAAAACAAAACAAACACAGAACAACAATAAAGTATGTGAGAAATGAACAGCATTTTGTCAAATACATAGCACTCGTTATCAGGAAAAAGCATTAAGAAACTTGACGATATGTCAAAGATACACACTTATCTTCAATTATCTCTGAATAATTTATAGGAATGCTCTTGCTCTTACTTTCTTAGGCCTCAAAGCTATGTTGTGGGGAAGAAAAGCCATATGGCAAATATCTGAAGTCAAATAATCCTGCTCCCTTCAGGTGAAAAATAATTTAATTTTCCACAAGACACAAATTAGTGCTGTATGTCAGAGCACAGGTTTTCTAAAAGTTGCTTGGAGCCCTGATGGGAACTGAATGATAACGGTATTATCTTGCTTATATGGACATATCACTTTCTCGAAGGCTCCTTGGATTTCTAAGTGTAAATTGGATGCAGTGTAGGTGAATGACTTGGCCTACAAAATCATCTGAAAAGTTTTCCTTAACTGCTTCCCAGGCATCATGAGACAAGATTTTTTCTTTGTAATATCTATGTTACCAACCTTTTCAACACGTTTTTATTGAGCCCCTACTATGTGATAACCTTTTTCGGGGTACTGGGGATATAGCAATTATCAAAACAACCAAAACATCGGTCATCATGGAGACAGAACGGATTTGGAAGTGGCTATGTTATAATAAAGCTTGGTTAGGAAAGGTCTCTTTGATAATGGGTACAAAGATCTGAAAAAAAGGGGAAGGGGCAAGGTGAGAAGAAACCACATGAACCATGTGAAGGGGGGAGTCTGCCAAGTTCAAGGGAATGTTTGATGAAAAGCTAGATCTCCATATTTGTCTTTAGCCAAGGTGACCTAATCCATCCAAAACAGATGACTGCCTATCTCCTTAAAACTCTCTCCATAGGGGTGTTTGGATCACTTTAAGTTGCTTGACAGCTGTGCAGCAGCACCTCTAATAAAAGACATTTCCTGCTTTCAGTCTAGACTTCTTGGCCTACAGGAGCACAGCCAGTTATACTACAAACTGACACTCGGACACTGAGAACCGCTCTCTGGGTACAGCAGGTAGTTGCTCCCCACGGATGTTCAATATTGTTGATGCACATCCCCAGGGCCAAGCCGTCAGTGTGCTATCATTAGCAGCCCTGAATCCTTTGCTGCTGCTGCTTCCTTAAGCAAGCTCTGCATTGTGTCGAATTACTTACAACACGCTAGCCTTTCAGGAGCAAGACAAACTCACAGTGGAGATTTGCAAGGAGAGACAAACTCGGCCCATATGTTAATATATCCTTTCTGATTTCTTGCCCCTGAATTTGAAATGCCACTACCTAAGCAGCCATTCTTTTGCATCTCCTGGTGCATGGAAAATATTCCAGAAACCATAGCACATTGAGTTACATGCATTTTCCTCTGTGATAGGAATCGTAGCAGCAATGTGGATCAGGAATAGGTGCAAAATGGGTAGGAAGACACACCTCAGGGAGGTGAGATACCCTAACGAGCAACTTTGCTTTTTAGAGGACTTAACCTGCAGGCAATCCTGCATCCTGGGGTCTGGGAAAGAGCAGCGATGATGAGAACTGCTTAAAGCACCATCTGCTTAAAAAGCCCTTATTTGAAAATTGGGAGAGATCAGAAGAGGCAAAAGTCTTGACAAAACGCTCCCAAACTGAATCTAAAAATTTTGTCTATGCACGGAATTTGTCTGGTTATTATTCCTACTGAATTGTATGCCCTTTTTTTCTCTTCCTGCTTTCTCATACTACTTTAATCACCTTTCACTCCCTTCTATCCTCTCTATCCTTCTTTACTAGGGTGACCATGCACTAGTAAAGATCACTAAAAATTACACCATTATATTTATACATAATGGGAAAAAAACCAGATCTCACTTAGTCACAATTTATTCACTTTTTCAACAAATATTTTTTGGAATCTATTATGTGCCACTGACTGTGCTAGAAGCTGGTGATGAATATTTTCTTAAAGAGCACACCTCTAGAACAGGACTGAGAATCCAGAGATGAAACCATCTGCATATGGTAATCTAATCTTTGACAAAGCTGACAAAAACATACACTGGGGAAAAGAATCT